AGAGAGAGAGAGGTGGGGGTGGGGTAGGGGTGGTGATGCAACATTCACCACCCACTCAGAGGCCTGGAGGTCAGGGAGAACAAACAACAGAAAATCAATACAGTGCACACACTGCCAGAGGCAAATCTTGGCTTCTCAGACTCCCGCACTTTTAAAAAAATCTTTACCCAAGGATATTTTTTCCATTGCTTTTCAGAGTGGGAAACACATAGATCTGAGACACAGTTTGGTTGCCTCCTGCACGCACCCCGGATTGAGCCTGCAACAGACGCACACGCCACTGGCCAGAATTGAACCTGGAACCCTTCAGTCCACTGGCTGATGCTCTGACCGCTGAGCAAACTGGCCAGGGCTCATGCACTTTTCTAATTGCAGGTGGCTGACTCCCGCAAGGGTTCTGTATTTCCAGTGGTTCCAAGGCGTCCGCTCTTCAGACACAGGTTTTTTGTTTGTCAGGGTGCCTGTGCTCAGCAGTGGGAGGGCTGCAAGCAGAATGTTATATCTAAGCTGTGAGTGCAGCTCTGCACTGCAGGCCTTCAACTCTAAACTGGAGAAAATTGAAACCCAGCCTCTCTTTAGGGACAAATTGTCTAATTTGTGGCAAGGGATAAGGCAGAGAATAAAACTGCAAGCCATGTTGGATAGTACAGGATCTTGTTGCCTGGCCAAGGATTTGGGAGAGAAACTTTGGTGTCCAGACCCAGGTTCAAAGTCCAGCTCCTAAGTTAGTAACGATCTCATTTCAGGCAAGCTACTTAGTGCTTTATTCATCACAAGGGCATCAAGATGTCCACTTCATAAGATTGCTGAGGACCACAAGGCAGGAGAGCAGAGTGGCTAATAGGCTTTGGAATAAGACTGCTTTTGAGCAGATTTGAATTCGTTTGCCACTTACAAGCTGTGTGATTTAAGCAAGTTACTTCTCTGTGCCTGCTTCCTTATATATGAAATGAGACTCACACTTAGATGCAGAGCACTTAATACAGCGCTTGGCACATTAAAGGTGTTCACTCAATTTCCCCCTCCCTTTCCTGTGGGCAATGGGAGGCTGATATGGGATGGGGAGTTGGGACACAGAGGGCACAGTTCAGGTCAATGGCAGCAAAGTGGTTTGGACAGGCCAGGGTTATTACAATAATTCAGGCAAGAGAGAGAACTGAGGGAAGAGATGTGGTTTTTGTGAGGAACCAATAGGGCTTGGCAGTTGGTTAAGCATGCCAGGGACAGCTGTCAGGGTTGTGACATGGATCAGCAGAACCAGGACTGCGTAGGTAAGGAGAGAGGGGAGGGAAGAAAAGTTTGGCTGTGGACATGTGTTTTCTTATCCTCACCCGAGGATATTTTTTCCATTGCTTTTCAGAGACTGGGAGACAGAGAAACATGAATGTGAGAGACATCGATTGGTTGCCTCCTGTACTTGCCCCAACCAGGGCTGGGGATCAAGCCTGGGACCCTTCAGTCCGTGGGCCAGTGTTCTAACCACTGAGCCAAACCAGCTAGGGTTGTAGACATGGTTTTAAAGTGGCAGCTGCAAAAGAGGGAACAGCAACGTGTACAAGAAAGGGTGGTAGAGTTGGTATCACCTCACAGCACCTAGGGTGGTGTAATAAAAAAAACCCAGGAAATGTGCTGGTGAGGATGGAGAGAAACTGGAACTCTGTGCACTGTTGATGAGAATGTGCGAGAGTGCACCAACTGAAATGGGACAGTGGTGTGGCAGCTCCTCAAAGTTAAAAATAGGATTGCTATACGCTCCAGCAACCCTTCTGGGCATATACCCAGAACTGAAAGCAGGGTATATGGGTTAGGGTATAAATGTCGAATAGACATTTATATACCATGTTCATTAACATTATTCAAAATAGACAAAAAGGAGAAACCACTTAAACGTTCATTGATGGATCAAATAAACAAAATGTGGTAGACCCATACAATGCATTATTCAGCCTCAAAAACTAAGGATATTCTGACACACACTACATGGATGAACCTTGAAAACATTATGCTAAGTGAAGTAAGCCAGTCACAAAAGGACAAATACTGTATAATTCCACTCAATCTGGGGATTTTCCAGCTGCCTTCTTGGCTAGCATTTCAGAGTCCATTTTGCACTGAAGGTTTCTGCTAAAATAAGAATGAGCATTGGTAGCAGAGAGGGGACTACAATATATGCAGATGTTCTCCTTTAAAAAAAACCCAAGGGAAAACCATGATGCCAGGGAAACTGCTGGCCCATTTACAGAGAACTCAGTGGGGGAGGGGACAGTGAAACCAACAATAACTTGGACACTAAGGAGGAAAGGTCCAATGGCTTTCCTTCCAAAGGCAACTCTTGCCTAACAGTTTAATGACAGGCCATTCACCTCTCCAGGAGGATAGGGTGAAGGTCGGCTTCCAAATGGTACCAAGTTTTGAAAGAGTTGACCAGTGGAAGATACTTTGTTTTGGTCCTAAGCAGATACATCTGGCAACACCCAGGCACTCTACTACGAGCTAAATTCCTATTAAAAATAAAGTTAAACCCTACTATTAGCTAAAACTGTCAAAATTTAGCTTTTGGTAAGGAATTCATGTCACAGAAGAGGTTTCAGTTGGGAACCCAAAAGTTAGAAATGAACTTTACATGAATTTGAAGGGTTTGAAACTACTATGCTCAGAAGGGAGTTGATGCTGACCATGCCATTGTTACATCCGTAGGACAGCAAGGAGAGCCAGGCCAGACAGTGTCCCACCCACCTTGCCCCCCCATCAGGAGAAAAGAGACAGAGTCAAGTGAGACAAACATTCTGACGAGCACCATGTCACATCTAGCTAGGGCTTACTAATGATCTTTCACTTAAAATTTTTGCTTCAAAAATTATATGGAAATACAACTACTAAACTAGAAAATAATATAGACATAGTATTTTATAAGAAACATGCTTTTTATAGAATGAAATGGCAACCGTTCTAAAACAGAAACAGGATGAAAGTACTCAAAAATATTAGCAAATAATGTGGGATAATCTGACACCAAACAACTGGAGGTTGATATGTAAAGATCTATCATTGCCTCAGGAGGTGATAAACCCAGAGTGAACCGATCAGAAAATTGGTACTGTCTGGTACACTTTTTACAGAATGCAGTTATTTTACAAGATGTTATTTAAGGCTAAACCAGGCCAGGAATTTGGGGGTCTCAGGGCTATAGCTGATAGGGTGGCTACTTTTAAAAGTACCCACTTACTTAACTTGTGGCTCCTACTTTGGCCATGTGAATTCAGATGGCTCCAGGCCAGAGCTGCCCACAGTTCCCCCATTATCAACTGTGTTCACTTACCAGGCCTAGTCCACCCTACATTTTGGAAGATCAAAATTAATGTCTTACAAGTGTGTTTAAGATGCTGTACCAATGGCTGGGAATATGTAGGTGGTATGGGGGCGGGTGGTGGTGGTGAATGCATGAGGTAGGAGGAGTCTTTTATCCTTGACACTGTGTAGAACTGAAAGTTTTGTTACTGTTCTTAAGTTCTCTGGAGCACACAGAACACCTGCACAGGGTTGACTGCTCCCAGTGCCAACCAACACTACTTGCCTTGACTAAATAAGGCTGGGGTGGGATGACATTTTTTTTTTTAATCCTTACCTGAGGATATGTTCTTACTGATTTCAGAGAAAGGAAGGGAGAGGGGGAGAGAAAGAAACGTTGATGTAAGAGAGAAACATCAACCAGTTTCCTTCTGTATACACTCCAAACGGGGATCAAACTCACAACCTAGGTATGTACCCTGAACAGGAATTGAATCTTCAATCCTTTGGTGCATGGAATGATACCCAACCAACTATGACTTTTTTGTTGTTTTTAATCCTCACCTGAGAATATTTTTTCGAGACTGGGAGGGAAGGAAAGAGGGGAGGGGAAGAGAGAAACATTGATTGGTTGCTTTCCGAGCCCAGGGGGCAGAAATCGAACCCACAACCCTTCAGTGTGCGGGCCGAAACTCTAACCACCAAGCCACATCAGCCAGGGCTGGGAAGACATGTTTTAGGTGATGGCACTGGGACCTAGTTCAAACCTCTGTCCTGATGGGAGTTTGCCCTGATAATAAAAGTGACACAGACACACACAACACACACATATCAGAGACTTGCTATTTTAAGAATGTACTTTATACAAAATAACCAGTTCATATGGAAATAAATCTACAGACCTCCAAGGATCAAAAAGCTTTTAAAAAAGTTTTTTCAAAAATTATCCAAAACACAACATTGAACTAACTATTGAGGTAAGTGTCGCTCTCAGTGAAACAGGGAATCAGCAGACCACGACAAAATATACACTATAAAAATAAATAGCATTCCCCTTTCCAATATTGGCCAACAAAGTTCACACAGCCTTTGCAGCAGGCACAAAGAATCCCTGACCCTGTGTGTCACAGGCTGGTGGACACTGGCCTGGGCTCTGAGGAGCTATGTGCAAGGCAGGAAGGTGAGGGACCCGAGCCCAGCTATGGAAAAGGAGTCTCACAGAGTGTGTGAATGGGTGTTCAGCATTTCAGTAACTTACTAAATATCCATACCCCCGTTTCCAACCCCAATGCACAGGACAATTAATGGAATTATCAGGCATATCTACATAAAGGTTCAGTGAATCCCTGGTGCAGAATTAAAGAGACTAGCCAGAAGACAGCCTCTCCAAAAGTCTGTTTAACAAAGGTCCTATGAAGCAGAGAGGAATAAACACCCAGCGTGCAGACAAAGCTTGTGCACAGCTTCATACGAGAGATGAGATGCTAAAGTGTTCACTCAAGTTGTTTTACCAAAAGGAAAGCAAGAACGGCTCAGTGTCCTAAGAATGCATGGCAGAGTCCAACCAACCAAAAAAGAAAATGGGGGTCTGGGTTCTTCTCACACAGAAAGGCTCAATCAGTCTTGGTTCCTAGACAGCAATGTGAGCCCTGGAGTAAAAATCTCTGCATGCTCAACCAAAATTCCAAGTATCCTCACTGCAGTGTTGAACAGAGTGCTGTCTGCAGAAACACTGCATCCCAGAAAGCGTCAGGGTTGAAGAGTCCTTCACTTTCACACACAGAGTTAATTCCTGCAACTGGGCTTCAAGAAGAATCTGGCAGGGGGCGAACTGACTGACAGGCACAAAGGGGGGCAATAATGCTAGAAAACTTTAAGCCTTTCATTTCCTTAAAGAGTTTATCTGAAAGCATGTCCGGATTCTTGACACTATGTAATTGTCCTTGCCTTGGGACTGCTGGGTTAAGACTTCCTGTGAAGTTTCAAATCAGGTCTTAAGATCAGCATATTATAGATTTGAATGTCCACTGAAAAAAGGCAAGAAAAAAGTTCAACCAACAAAGGAATAGTATAAATAACAATACAGCAGATAAGTGCTACAGACACCAAATGATTAGTCAGGACAAGCACTTCCAAGGTTACAGGGCTAGGCTAGTGCAAGGTGACACTTAAATGCTGAGGTTTGATTGGACTAAAGGGCACAAACCACAGGTCTAAAGGTTCTCATAACCACAAAATGAAGATAGGCATGGGAAAGCTTGCCCTTCGGGAGCAGTCTGACTTGGGCTTACTGAGAATAAACAACTGTTAATAGTAAGCTCATATGCACTATCAGAAGAACCTGACCTAAAGAGAGATGAAGTGGCTTTACATCTTATTTTTAAAAAGTAGAGTGGAAAAAATTATATGAACAAGAATCTGCATATTTTGTCCTTCCTTACTCTCCAAATACACACTGTAATAAATTTTAGACAATAGGTACTTTTCAAATGAACAGACTGAGAAAATAAAACCCAAACCAGCAACTTTACAAAAGGCTCTTCTTTTCTTTCTGGATATTTTATTTCTCTTGGGTCTTGCGGAAAGAGCTTCTAACTTATTAACAACTTAAGGTTAGCCATGAATGTAAAATCAAATAGGTGTGAGACCCATCCTTCACAAAGTGCAGCTGTCCTTCTTGGGGACCACTGAGAGCCAATACCCTGACCAGGCTGCAGTGATCCAGTGTGTAAGTCCTTCTAGCCTGAGAGCAGATCTTCTTACACTCTACTTTCTAGTTATAGCATGTCACCTAATCACCATTCATTCCCTAATGGAGAAGATAGCAAATGAATCACCTTAAGACACTTGGAAAGAGAGTACTAGGGAGAAAAAAAGGTCAGAAAAAAAAGAGCCTGTGTGGGGAATGTGTGGGCGAGCAGCCTACAGCAGTTTACCATGTGCACTCCTGCAGCTCCTGACAACTTCTAGCAGATCTCTACTTCAAAGACCAGTTAAAGCTCAGGATATACAAACAGGGATGAAGCACTGTACCTGTAATGTACAACCAAATTTCCACACAGGATGCAGCAAGGCTGGTGATGTATCTGTTGCCCTTGTTCACAGTGTTGTAATACAGTAGTTCAATTTCCTATCATTTTCCTTATTTTCTCACCTTTCTGCCTACCAAGAAGGGAGATTAAGGATAAAAGAATTGACTGACTTTTTCCCCTATACTGTTCACAGCTTCTAACAATAGGGGGTAAGGGTCTGGGAGAGTGAGGAGAAAGGGTTACCTCAAGCAGTGTGTACACAGCTGGCTCAAAGGAAAGGGTACACATCAGCCAACTACTGCTTTCGCTCACTTCTATCCAGGCCCCAAGGAGTTCAGCACAAAGCAATCTCTACAGCTTTAGCACCAGGGCAAGAGGCCTTAAGTTTAGCATGCTCCTAGTTCAGGGAGGAGCAGAGGTCTCTCACTCAAACCTGCTTTTACGCAAAAACAGAAAGGCTATCAGTGGCAGAATGTTCTAGGCCAAGACCAGGTCTAGCCAGGCCTAAGCTAGCTGTAAAGACCAGCTGGTCTTTTCCTCCTCCCTGCTTTTGCACAAACACAGAAACAGAAGTAGTACTTCTTCCACCATGCCATCTGCCACAACTAGCTCAAGGGCTGGCTGAGACCCATCCTCAAACCTTCTAATCTGCTCTTCCTGCAGAGAATGCTGACCTCTTCCTTCTTCTAAACCAGATTATGCCCAAGATAGGTTACTAACAAGTATTAGGATAAAATGAGAACACAGCCTCAAAACTCATTCCACTTAAAAGCACGCCAAATTTAAAATTAAAGTCTGAGAGGAATTTGTATTGTTGTGCATTGACTTAGAGGCATCTGTGTTCCCTACTCAGTTCTCAGTCCTGCCTGAGCTGTGAGTCACAATGCCAGGTCAACCAGAACACCTTTATATGTATGAATTTCCCTTATACTGGAGCTGGTGTCTTGGGGTACATCTGTATAACATAAATGTTTCCAATCTGTTTCTTTTCCTAAGGATAGCATATATTTAGCAAACTTTAAACATGATAGTTCAGTATTTCATCAAGGATGTTAGAATTGGAGGGAAAGGTTCTACTGGCCCCCACACAGATGAATTTATAAGTAACTAGGGCAGATTAATATACCTCTGTAGCTTTTCCACTATCCCAAAGGCATGTTAAAAAATATGCTATTCTTTACAAAAATCTATAATTCCAGGGCATTTTCCTTAGTTTGTTCTTTCTTTGTGGCATATTCATATAAGCCCTAACTTTGGTGGCATCTCAGCTAAAATCAAATACAGAATGCTAAACAGGGAGCACCCAGTGTAATTCACTTCTATAACTGTAATAAAGTAATTTAATACTGTAAAACTGTTTCCTATCACATATAAGAAAAATGATTCCCAAGAACTTGTTCTTGATAGCTATTTTAAATCACCATGACTTATTTTACTATGATTCACTTAAAATAAGGACTATATATAGTGAAATATTTCTAAATTCAAACTGTAAACCTATAGAATACATTTTTCCTATTCAAAACTGTGCAATTTCTTTATTGATACTAACATATACAAACCTGAGTAGTCACTTCCACAAAATGTGATCTGTGCCAGAAAGCTCTGTGTGATGCCTTCCAGATCACAGTTCCAGCAGGCCTGTGAAGAGGACGATTCATTTTCTCTTCTAATAAGAAAACACTCTAGTGATATTGGTTTACAACTCTGGTAGATGTGGTGGCAAACCAGGAAGGGCACTGATCTCCCAGTCCAAGACCTACGCCATCAGCCACAAGGGCAGCCTGCTTCTGGGTGGAAACTTCTGGAAGGCCATGAGAGCACTCTGCATCTGAACTGAGAAACTAAGCAGCGGGGCAGTGGAACAAAACTCTCTTGGACGGATTGAAAAGAAGGCCTTTACTCTTAAAGGACAGCTGGCCACTGAGGAAAACACAGTGACATACAAGAGTATTCCTTTTCTACCCTTTTCTCTAGCTCCCAAAGTATTCAGTGTGACGAAATTGTAAACAGGTAAGATCACTCCAGTGCTGTGTGCCCACCAGTTAGGACTTCCATTTCTTCCAGATCCCCACCCACCTGCCCAGTTTATGTACAATACATTCACCACCACCAACAAAAATTATTTTAAAAGGCAACATGAAAATTCTGTAAACTGGACCCAACTCCAAAGACATTAATACTATGAGTAGTTCTTTCCCCAAATATATACCTGAGTTTAGCTGCTCATGAAAGTTTACAAGCACCACTCCATTCTATTCTTATGCATGCCCCTCCCAAGTTTTAGATGATTTCCCTGAACAAGTCTCAGGACTTGGAAGCCATCATTAATTCCAATTCATTTGTTCTTGGCTATTAGACACGCAAGAGATCTCTGACTAGGACCCTTGCAAACTGTGTGTTATTTAAGCAGAGTGCTTCTAGGGCTGTGGGCATGGCTCCAGCTCCTGGATGGCATGCGATGGTACACTGTGAGGAGCCATGGCAGGGTGACAGGAATAAAGATGGGTGAGGATTGTTCCCCAAATTCTCCATGTTCCAGTCTTCATGTGCAGCTTTCTGTTTCCTTAGGGGTTATTTCCTCCTTGGACTAGCTCTGGGAAAAGCAAAACAAGGATGATTTAAACAAGGATGGTTCACATTTGTGTTGCTAAAAAAAAAAAAAAAAAAAAAATTAAATAAGCTAAAGAGCTGTTCCTTTAATCTGGGGAAATGGCTAGATTTTGTTTCTCCAGCCTCAGTTTACTTTAAGAGGGGGCATGAAAGTGCTGGGACTCCCATTCAAACACCCACAAGTATCTGTAGGACTTCTTGTACACCAGGAAATGCTGCTGCTGCTGACAACTACTTCATGGAGGTTGAGGGAGAGCCTAAGTGAAATAAGACTGTGCGGAAAACCTCTTAGCACAGTGCCAGGCACAGAAGCAGCACTCAAAGGTAGTTACTATTTAAAAACTTGACTGCCTAGTCTCTTGAAAATCAAATAGGTGGAAAAGATAAAATAGGCAAGGGATTGTATCAAAATACATGCTAATAGCTGGCTTGGAAAAATGAACTTTAAATAATCTCCAAACAGCTGGTTAACTAAGCAAAGAAAAAAGGAACATGTTGCAATAATAGAGAAGCTACTTTCAGAGGCCTCATCTTGATCTTTCCCACTGCTGAGTCAACTTTGAGCACAGGCCCTGAGTGCCCTTTTTACCTGTTTGCCTGCACGACATGAGGCACTTTCTAGGAAAAGTGCCTGTATCAACAGGACACCTTAAAAGATTTTTTCAGAATAGCAATGAAGTCATGGATAATGACTTCAATTGAAAGATGGGGTTAGGGCCTGCCTGATCTGCTTCTGTACCCAACCTTGGAAAAGCAGACCTTGGTGAGCCTCTTGGTCCTGTCCAAATGCACCTAGCCCCAGCAGAGGGGACTACAAGCTTTGGAGTGTGAAAAACTTCAAACAGTGTACTACTCAAGGCCAGTCACAGTGTCTGACATTGGCCTGCACTAGAGACCATCCAAAAGACTGGGAGTCCTAGCAGATCTACCTAATCCACAGAAACAAATCCAAGCAGGCAGCCAAAATGGGGAGACAAAAAAACAAGCCCCAAATAAGAGAACAAAATAATTATCCAGAAGAAGAGCCAAATGAAATGGCGATAAACTATCTATCAGACATAGAGCTCAGAATACTGATTGTAAGGATGCTCAACAACATGAGAAAAGAAACGAAAACTATGAAGGAAATTAAGAATGACATAGTAAAAAAAAAAAAAAAAATTGGAAGAAATAAACTGCATATTAGAGGAAGCTGAGGACTGGATCAGTGAATTACAAGACAGGGTAGAAAAAAAAATAATCAGAGAACCAAAAAGAAAAAACAATTAAAAAACAGGAGGACAGTTTAAGGGAGCTGTGGGACAGCATGAAACATAACAATATTCACATCATAGGAGTTCCAGAAGACCTAGAAAGTAAGCAAGGGTTAGAGAACCTGTTTGAAGAAATAATGGCAGAAAACTTCCCTAACCTGGTCAAGGAAAAATCACACAAGTTCAGGAGGCAGAGAGTCCCAAGCAAGAAGAAGCCAAAGAGGCCCACCCTAGACACATTAAAATGCCAAAAATTTAAGACAGAGTATCTTAAAGGCAGCAAGAGAAAAGCAATCTGTTACCTACAAAGGAGCTCCCATAAGGCTGTCAGCTGATTTCTCATCAGAAACTCTACAAACCAGAAGGGAATGGCATGAAGTATTCAAGGTAATGAAAGGCAAGGATCTGAAACCAAGACTACTCCATCTAGCAAGGCTATCATTCAAAATAGATGGGGAAAGAAAGAGTGTCTCAGACAAAAAAAAATGCTAAAGGAGTTTATCAAGACCAATCCAGCATTGCAAGAAATGTTAAAGGGACTGCTATCACAAGAAGTTGAAATAGAAAAAATGAGAAACATAGGCATAAAGAATTAAAATGGCACTAGATAAGTACCTATCAATAATAACTTTAAATGTAAATGGATTAAATGCTCCAATAAAAAGGCACAGGGTAGCTGAATGAATAAAAAAAACAAGACCCAAATATATACTATCTACAAGAGTCCCACCTCAGAACAAAAGGCTCACACAGGCTGAAGTAAAGAAAAACTACTTCTGGAGGACTTTAAAGGAGATATCGACAGTCATAGTAGGGGACTTCAACACTCCACTGACTTTACTGGATAGATCTTCCAGACAAAAAAATCAACACGGAAATAAGTGATTCTAAATGACACACTAGATCAGATGGATTTAACTGATATTCACAGAACATTTCACCCCAAAGCTGTACAATATATATTCTCTTTAAGTGCACATGGGAAATTCTCAAAGAGCACATGTTAGGACACAAAACAAGTCCCTACAAGTTCAAGAAGACTGAAATCATATCAAGCACCTTCTTGGACATTTACACCACAGAATACTATGCAGCTGTAAAAACAAAGGATCCCTTACCCTTGGAGACAGCATTGTGGGACCTGGAGAGTATTAAGCTAATAGAAATTAGCAAGCCAAAGAAGGACAAGTATCACATGATCTTACTCATATGTGGAATCTAATGAACAAAATAAACGGATGAACAAAACAGATCCAGAGACAGAAGCATGGAACAGACTGATGAATCTCAGATGGAAGGCAGGAGTGGGTGGGGACATATTAACCTATGAACTTATATGTATATATGCATAACCCTTGGACACAGATAATAGCGTGGTGAAGGCCTGGGGGGTGGGTAGTGCAGGGTAGAGGGGATCCATGGGGGGAAAAAGGAGGACATTTGTAATACTTTCAACAATAAAGATACATTTTAAAAAAGAGAAAAAAAGAAAGGGGCACAAATTCTGGGAGGCCCAGAAAAGGAAGTGCCCAGGGAAGAAGAGCCAAGAAAGACAAGCAGCTTTGGTAAGTTGAAGAGGCAACAAAACATTCTGAGAAAAGGCACTGAGATAGAATGGAGCATCTTGGCTTAAAAAGGGGGGGTGGGAAAGAGAGGAGATGGCTTAGGGTCATAGTATACAAGTCCCCACATCTGGAGGTCAGTTTCTTTTCTTTAAAGTACTCAGTTGAAAATCTGTGACTCAAAGATGCAGAAGGCAATCTTGTAGATAAATAGGTTGCTTCTAATGTCCAGTGTTCATGTCTATGTGACTGGAGTTACAACCCTTTTAAAAAAAATAAATAAGAAAGATGGGGTTAGGGGTGCCGATGCACCATGCAGCTAAAAATTCATGTATAACTTAAGTCGGTGCTCTGCATCAGTGGATCCCCAATGCAGATTGGGACTATGAATTTCTTTTCTACCACCTGCAGGAATAAACAGAACTCTCATTTTTGGCACTTCTTACCTGATCAAGAGGGAGTGTTGGGGGCTTATGTGGTGGCAGCTCTTCCTGCAATGCTGCTGGTGCTGGTGTCTTTGGGAAAGAGGACTGTGACTGGACTGGATGCATTTGCATTCTATAGCAATGAGAAAGGAGCAGTTAAGAATGAAAGGAAAAAAGATACTTTAATCATGAAAATCTCAGGCAAATACTGCCTTAATTATCCAGGTGATTAAACTAGGAATCATCAATACTGGGAAAAAACTGGCATTATGTGCCTCTAGGTATGATGTATTAAGTACATGACCACTTATTTATTGTTTAACTCGACTCTAAACATGAGCGAATAATAAGAATCCAACATTTAGGACACTACATGAGAACTGGCTGGGTTCTGAAAGACAAAAGAAAACAATGCAATCATGGGATGAATGTTGTAAAATAGACTAAACAGACAACAAACAAGTGTAAATATATACATCTTGACTGGATCTTGAATGGAAAAAACCACCAAAAACAACAACAAAGAAATATAGCTATAAAAGACATTTTGGAAACCAGTGGAGGAATTAGGATTCTATATTAGATACTATTAATATCCTTTTCCTTGGGTGATAAATAGTTTGAGATTGTGGTCCAGGACAATGGTCCTTATTCTTAGGATATGTGTTCTGAAGTATTTAGGAATAAAGGGTCATGATGTCTAAAATTTACTTTCTGATGGTTTAGGAAAAAAGGGATAGGAAAGAAATAAAACAAACATATTTAGCGAGGTAGGAAACAATATGACAAAATGTTAAATGGCAGTAAGGTTTTGGAGGTAAGGTCTTCTTAGGTTGGTGTTGGGGAGGGGCATGGTGGTTTTTAAGTTGAATAATATTAATTTTATGATTGGGTCTCTTAACTTTAACTGAATATGATACCCGCCCCCCACCTTGCCAGGGTTGGAGGAACCTATTTTACTGTGGTTAGAGTGTATGAACTCAGAAACAATGCTGAAGCCTTTGCCTATAGCTCACAAACTATGCCCATCATGTTTTCAATATCAAAATTTAACTAGACAGTCACTTAAATGTCAATTCATTTTCATTAGGAAAAAAATGCCAAAGATACAAATCAAACTTCATGGCTAATACATTTCCATTAAGTCTCCACATCAACAATTCACATGCTCTTCTTGGTCCCAGAAGACCACTAAAGTTTATCTTCATTACTAAGGCCATTTTTCTTTTAAAAACTAACATCTACTCTTTTTTCAGGGAAAAAAATAAATCAAATGAATCTTACCTGGATGGTCTGTACATTTCCTGGAAAGGTCCCCTTATTCCACTTCCAGTGCCAATTTGTTCCATCATTACAGCCTGAAAGTGGCCTAGGCTCTCTTCCTGGCAGCGGTACATGGGGCCCTCCTGAGAGAGGCCGTTGGGCTGGGCAGTTACTGGATGGTGAGGTGGGTGAGCAGCCACAGGGGAAGAATATGCCCTGGGCTGGAGATGACTGGTCGGCCGTTGAGGTGTATAGGAAGGCCTTGTTTGTAGCATTACACCATGAGGTGGGAAAACAGATGAACCAAACCCCATCCCTGAACCAAGAGGTGGAGGAGGAGTTCCATAAAGATATTCGCTGGTTGACAAAGAACTGTGTTGCTTGGAAGCTGCATTATGGTTGTCTAGGTCTAAAAATTCTTTGGGACTCTCTGGCCTCTCCATAGATTCATCTGGCTTCTCTTCCTCTGGACCAGGGTTCTGCCCATCAGCTGCAATGACCTTAGCAGCCACTGCGTCCATGCGGGTTGGGGAAGTTAAGGCAGCATTCAGTGTCTCACAGCCTTGTAGATTAACCATGGCATTCTTATCTGAGAAGAGGGGTCTTGGAGGATGAGGCTGACTAGGTGGGGGCCCACTTGGGCTTCTTGGGGGATGAAGATGTCTCTGCCAGTCAGAAAAGCCCTGTGGACATGTGTAATAAGAAGTTCTCTGATAGTGATGGTAGGAAGGCTGAGGTGGTGGCTGGTAGGAATACCTCATTCCTTGGTGGGGGCGGTAACGGGGAAAGACTGCAGAATGGGGGTTGTTAGAATGAAAGCCCCTAGGGGGAAAATGCTGAGGATGTGATACTGAGGGTTTACTTCCCATCACAGGGCCCAGACCTTGCAGGCCAGAATTGATGTGGTAATGTGTAGCTGAATTTGGGTATTCTGGGCCAGGCATATACAAGGGAGAAAACTGACTGACAGTGCCTCCCATCAAACTGGGGTCTGCACTGGGAGGTGTAGCTGGGTTCTGTCCTGTACATGGCATGGTTTCCTGTAATGTTTTACCTCTGGGGCAGAGTGGCTTTTCTGTACCACTACCATCAAGGCCCTTCTCCTCTGATCCACAAGGGGGTGCTTCAACCACCACTCCATTTTCAGGTAGCGCTCCTCTATTTGCCAGAGTGGAGAGGTCCCTCATACATCCCTGGGCTGCTGGGCTGGTGTAGCTACTCTCCGAGGGCCAGGTATTTTTGCCCTTTGTTGCCTGACAGTTGCCTTCAGATGCTGCAGAGTCGTTTTTGAGCTCTGGGCCCTCTGCTTCCCTTTCTTGTGGTGAGCTCTGCCTGCTACAGTTGGTCTGTACAGGAGGCGTAGGGTGAGGTAGTTGTTTGAGGTACACCCCCTCTGAGGCACCAACACTTGGTGGTTTCTCGAGCCCAGGCAAGGGATCTGCTGCAAGAAAATGGAGAACAAAATAACAATTCAGTAGCTGAAATGACAATACCAATGGAGATGATAATGCAAAGAACATGATAAGCAGCCAGATAAGGGGAGTAAGGGTTGAAGTAGATGTATGGCCAAAGCTCAGCTAGAAAATTTGAGAATTCCTGAAAGGGGTCATGATGTTGAGGTCCTTGCACACTCCCTTTTGAAGACCAGGAGGCAAGACCCAGAAACTACAGCTACTCAAAACGTTTGTCAAAGAATGGAGATGTCCTTGCCTCCCTCCTCCTGTGTTGTCACAGTCAGATTAGTGAAAGGGCATGGACTCTAAGTACATACATGTGGAATATGTCAGGAAGGTACGGTTGTAACTAGAATTGTAGGTCAGGCTGGGAGACTCTAAAACAACACAGTGAGACCAGGGAATGATGGGTCTCAGGAGGCCAGTCCCTGATTTGTGACCTATCAGAGCATAAACTCCATAGAGCAGGGACTCTGTTTTGTTCCCCACCATACCCTCAGTATTCGAACAAAATGGGGAATCAATATTTACTGAACAAATAAAAATATTTATCTCATCTGAATGCTTTAAAAAAAAAAATTTTTAATTGATTTTAGAGAGAAGGGGGGAGGGGGAAGGGGGGGGAGAGAGAGAAACATCGATGTGAGAAACACTGACCAGTTGCCTCCTGCATGTACCCTAAAGCTGAGAACTTTCGGTGCACAGGATAATAATGCTCCATCGATTAAGCCATTCTGTCTGGGGGCAATCTCACTATTCTTTATTCTTATTAGATATTGATATGTATCCAAGGAATAAAAGGATAGAAATAATTAGACTTTAAGTAAAATACTGAAAACTTATTTCATAATGATAACTTTCAGAAAGAAATTTTTAAAGGCAGTTTGATGATGCTGTGATTAAAAACGTGGATGCTGGATCCAGTCTGTCTGGGTTCAAAACTCAGTTCTACCACTTACTAGGTAGATCAGAGCAAATCATCCACTATCCTTGTGTCTTGGACTTTCCATCTATAAAAACAAGGCTAATAATAGCAGCTATCTGGAAGGGTTGTTCTGAGAATGAAACGAGTTAATATATGCAAGTCTCAAAAAGGGTGCCTGCAAAACAAGTACTTCATCTATGTAGTTATCACCATTGCCCAAAATCCTTTTGGATAAAAAATAATACCATGATTGGCCCAACCCTGAGCAGTTCAAGAAAGAGAATCTGGAAACCAGTTTATTTGGTTTTATTTGGTTTGATACTGTGTAAAAAGATTATTCATGAAATAATAGCTTAAAGGGCCAGAAGTCAGACAAAAGTGACAGTAAATTACCTCGGTCATTTCCAAGCTCTTGTATTTCACTGTTATCCTGTGTACTTCCAGGGTTCCCCAAGGCAGGCTTGGGGGTTGACACACTAACTGATGCTGAGTGTGCACCCTGTGGAAAAGGGCCAGGTAAATGGGGGGGAGCAGGCTGTTGGGGGTGGTAAGGCACACCTGGCGGGCAAACGCGGGAGGAAAGCTGCTGCATGGCGATCATCTCTGGGCTGTCCATCATGGAGTCCCCTCCTTGCACCCCTCGCAGAACCTGGGAGGGTGCTCCAAACAGGGGATTTGGTGCTAGAGGTGGCTGTAACCGATGCCCACCAGATTTACAGGGTGGTCGCATATACCCTGAAGAAGGAACACCATGAGGTAGAAAGCTTGACTGTTCAGTCCACTGGTTTGGAGGAAGAGGTGGTCTCATCACTCGGGAATCCATCATGTGACCAAGAGTACGAGGCTGGTGAGAGGGTCCTGGTCCCATGAGGGGCTTATCATCTGGCCCTAAGGGTCTTGGGTTTGTAGCACCGTGGTTCCCATTCCAGACAGCAGGGTGTACTCGATTCAGGTATTTGTATGATCGGTACATGTGGCTGGGAGAAATTTCTGAGCTTTCAGGAAAGTCTGGGGGTCGGACTGGAACCCCTCCATGTCTGGGTGGAATAAATGCTGGCTGGAATTGAGTTAAGGAATACATATTTCCATCCTGACTGGGGCCACTCATCTGCCCAAGAGGCAAGGATCCAGGATGTGATCCCATGTTAGAAAGGTGCCTCAGTCCCCCACACACTTGCTTCTCTTCAGGCATGCCCAGCCTGGGTCCTCGGTGTTTGTTAATTCCAACTGGAGGCTGGCAACAAGAAAAGAGAAGATAGGCCCATAGAATAAGGTATACCTTGTAGTATGCTTCATCTATAGTAACATACTCTACAGAATAGGAGATAATTAAATTTAACCTGGGAAAAGACTGTATTTCTAAAAGTTACCTTTGAGATTCTTTGTACCTGCATATAATGAGTAGGTTGCTTACCTGCATGGCAAAAGGCTGGTGCTGCTGTATAGGCTCTCCAGGGTGTGGTTCTGGGACTCTAGAGGGGACATATAAGTTGGCAGGATCTGATCCTTGAAGATGGCCAAATGTTCCTGGTACTGCTGGCCTCTGTAGGGTATTGCGTAAAGGCAAAGAGTGGGAGTGGGAAAAGAAAGCACAGACATTAGAAAGAAAATAAGGACTTTCCTGAAGATGAACATAACAGACCACTAACACCCAGCACAGAGTACCAAGAAGGGAAGACTGCTAGCACATGGGCTCACCTAGATCAGGACTAGCTCCTGACCCCAAAGCACTTTCCGTCTCTAGCTGAGAAAAACTTGTTTATCTTTTTCATGATTGTCCCCTCACCGCCAAGAGCCTTGTTAGCCAATTTCCCCCCCTAATTGCCCCCCACCATGAAACTTTAATACCACAGAGAGGCTGTATATCGTTTGTATTGTATGTAGCTTGTGCTTTCTTTTTTTAATCCTCACCTGAGAATATTTTATTGATTTTAGAGAGAAAGAGAGAGGAAGGGAAGGAGAGAGGGGAAGAAACATCAACTGGGTGCCTCCTGTATGGGCCCCGACCAGGGATTGAACCTGCAACCTCCCAGGTATGTGCCATGACTGGGAAAGAAACCTGCAACCTTTTTTTTGTACGGGATGACGCTCCAACCAACTGAGCCACCTGGCTGGAGCTGTACCTCTGCACTTTATACATAAGACGACTTGAGAGTGATTTTTTAATCCCAATTTTTGCCCACATTGAGAATGTGTGGTTCAAATGATTAAGAGAGGAGGATTTGAAATGAATGAATAATAAAGGAAGGAGAGAGGTGGGGAGAAAAAAAGCCCCGCTCATATACAGCAAAATTATCATGGAAGAGGAGCCAAGTGAAAAGGTTTTCCTTTCCTTTGAATTTACCAACTAGGAGAAACCTTAGCAGAATTTGTTATTTCTTACCATCTGGTTTAAAAGGGATGCCTGGTTGGGCATCCCACCATAATGCAGGGGACGAGGAAGGACTCGGCTATTTGAGGTGCCCACCTCCAGAGGGAGCTGTGTGGAGCTGCTGCTCTGATCATCCCCAGAAGAGGGAGCTCGGCGTGCAGGCGGCAATGACTTTCCTCCGTTCTCCACAGGCTGCTGTTTCCTGCTGGGCCCTTCGGAGTCCCTGGAGCGGGTGCATACGTGGCTTCCACCACTTCGCCCAGCCCGACTGCGTCTCTTCTCCCGCTTTTCATCCTCTCTGATCCAATATTCTTCATCTGTGTCTCCATCTTCGCCAGGAAAATGCTTCATCATTGCCCGATGGAAACACCTCTCTAAATTATCCGACATCTTGGTATACTCTACAGGAAGATATAAGGATTGCCCTCCAGGTATAGCTTTTATAGGTCACAAAAGACAATTCTACCGATAAACAAAAGATGCTATTGGGGCAAACTCTGAGTTTCTTGTCCTAAGAGGCTCTAGGCTGTATGGCTGAACAGTGACTCTAGGACCATTACACCAAACCGGTAAAAATTTAATTAAATTGCAGAAGGAACGGTCTGAGTCATTAGGATACATATTTCTAAAAGAAAAGGCATTTTATTCTTGGTTACAATGGTACAGTCAATGTGCATCCAGAGCAAACCCTTTCACCACTTACCACTACTTTCCCCATTATATTTTCGACAATTCCTGAACATAGTCTTCATGTCATTTACAAATTCCTCCTTGGTACAGTATAAACCTCCATTTAGTTTCTTCTCCATGCTTGAAATATCCATTGGGATCTAAAATAGGACACATTTAATTATAAATATGCTGGAGAAAACATCTTATAATCCGTGAGGCAAAGGAATCATGCCCTTTTGAGTTGCTCAAAAGCCTGGTATACATCCAGCAACCCTGACTCTCAAGGAACAATAAATGAACTCAAACAAAACAAAATAAAAAACAACAACAAAAAGCAAGAGCAAAACACAAGCCACAATAGTTAAAACTGCATAGTAGGTTTAACTACCTTAATAATCTGATAATAGTTTGGGGCATATGATTCATCCACAGGTTCCAAAAACGGCCAGGAATCCTTGTGAGCTTTCACCACATCTAGAACTGAGAGCCAAAGAAGAGAACTTAATACACTCACATAGGAGTACTTTTATCAGAAACATAATAGTTGAGAATGGAAACTGACCTTTATACATGGCGGTGAAATCATCATCCAACTCAAAGCTGTAAATCACAAAATAAGAAAATAGTAACTTTGATCTCTCCTTAACTCTTAATTCAAACGCAGACACAGCTGGTTGCACCAAGTTTTGGAATAGATCCAATAATTTTTATTACAGATAAGTTTGTAACAGTGATAACACTCCAGAAAATAATTACGAAGAAAGATGAGGGTTAGCATACTTTAGCAGAAAAGGGAGTATCATCTTTCTCATCTGTAAAACGACTGGGTGGCTTAGATGACCCAAAACTTAATTTATGATCCTGTGTTAGTTATTTAACAGCACATTCTTTCCAAGGTCTTATTTTACTCTAATGAATATTTGTGACATAAAGAATAATCCAAAAAAGCATAACAGAATGAGAAGCTCATGAACATTGAATATCACCTACCACACAGTTATTTTAAGGGTTAAATGAGAAAAGTACTTATTAGCACAATGCCTAAATGCTTAATAAATGTTAAAGGTTGCTATTGTTAGTATCATTAAATACTCACAGGTCTTTAGCCTTTTTTTCTTCCCTCATGGGGGAATTAGGGTCCAGGTGGGAAAGCTCTGGGGGGAGCTCCTTCCCTTGGGCCAGCAGCCATGCCCTTTCTTCCCTGAGCTTTCTCCTCTTAGCTCGGTCTACAATGGAAACAAAGCATCATGGTACAAATGAGTTAAGTACTTTCTACTTAAGAAGATGTTGATGAAATATCCTTATCATTGTGAGAGAAGGAAGAAATAAAGATCACAAAGGAGTATCATGAAGTCACTTGTGCTTCCTTTGCCATTCTCTTTTTGGTAATTAGGATGATCCTACAGATGGCAAGCACTGGAATGAGGGAAGTTTCAGAAAAGAGCAGGGCTGAAGAATACTGAAATTAGATGAAAAAGGGAAAAAAAACCCCAGAAGGCTGAGTAAGGATTATTTTTGTACTACCAGAGGCCTTTCCTCTTTCTACAAAGCAACATAGAGCCCTGGCTTGGTGAGGCTCAGTTGGTTGAGTGGTGTCCTATGTACCGAGGTTGCCCGTTTGATTCCCAGTCAGGGCACATGCCCAGGTTGCAGGCTCGATCCCCAGTAGGGGGCGTGCAGGAGGGAGTCAAGATGGTTCTCTCTCACTGATGTTTCTCTCTCTCTCCCCCTCCCTTCCTGTCTCTAAAAATCAAGAAAAATAAATTTAAAAAAACCCCCCAAAACAAACACATACATTTTTAGGACCAGAATCTCAAATGAAACATATACAGGATTTTATATACATCTCCAAGCTCTCAAGCTTTTGCATTTACAAAGGCATCCATATACATCAATTGCATTTGCTCCTCAACCCATCCCCACAATGGCAGCTGGTCCCTTCTAAGCCAGTGGTAGTAGTAAGTCTGGCTGGGAACACTGGAAAAGATGCCAGCTGGAAATGGCATGGATGATTTCTTTCCTGGCTCATAGCCATGCCCAAGGGGCACTCAATGCCAGTAAGGAATAGGAAGGTCAGGAGAAAAAGGCGGGGGGGATGAAGAACACTTTTAGGCACCAAAACAGAAGGGAGAAGACAGGATAGATCTTGTTCTTTTCCCCAAGGGATAAGTCCCATGTCTTCCATTGCTATGAGCAGTGTTTCTGCGAAGTGTTTTTCTTGTTAAGTTCTATTTGACTTGTGTTTCTGTTCCTGCATTATTTTCATTTGTAAACTTAGAGCATCTGCTTTAATTAATGAAAGGCATTTTGCTATCAACAACTTTTTTTTTTTTTTTTTAAAAAGAGAACGACTTTAAGCTTATAGAAAAGTGTAACTACATTAATGAATACTACCAAACTGTCAAAGCTTAATTAAAATTTCTACCTTAACTTTAATATAGTATTTCTCAATTTAATCCTTTTCTAGTTGACTGCAATTTGCAACAGTATTATAATAACCATTCTTTTAACAAGTCCTCTTGTGCATATTCATGAAAGCCCTCTAGGATACAAATCCAGCAGTAGAAGTGCCAGATAGAGGAGTATATATGTTAACTTATAAGACATTGTCAAAGTGCTTTCCAAAGGGTCATAGCTATTTTTTTCAATAGTGATCTTAGTTACCTCACCCTCAGTTGGTAAGATAAAAGTTAGCATTTTGGCGAACTGATCGTTATGGCATAGAATTCTGATGGTTTCATTTTCATTTTTCTCATTGGAATAATAATGAACAAATTTTCAGTTTACTGGCATTTGCAATCCTCTTCTGTGAATTTCCTGCTTACATACTTTGCCCTTTTTTCCCCCCTCTGTGGGTTTTGGAATTCTTACTAATTTGGAGAAGTGCTTTAAATAATCTTTTTGATTATGTATGAAAATTACCTTTTTCTACTCCATGGTTTGTCTTTTTTTTCACTTTGTTTATGGTGTTTCTGCCATATGTAAGTTTTAAAAAATTAATGGAGTAAAATGCATCAATCTCTCTCCACTTACAGTTGAACTTGTATTTAAAAATTTATTTATTTTGTATGTCTTTATTGATTTGAGAGACAGGAAGGGAGAGGAAGAGAGAGAGAGAGAAAAACATTAATGATGAGAGAGCCACTGATCGGCTGCCTTCTGCATACCCTCTACTGGGGATCGAGCCTGCAACCTGGGCATGTGCCCTGATTGGGAATTAAACCTCAGTCTCCTGAATCATCGGTCGATGTTCAACTGCCGAGCCACGGCAGCCAGGCAACTCTTTGTATTTAAAAAAATTTTTTAAATCTCAACATCTTGAAGATATTCACCTATATTTTCTTCAAAAAGGTTGTGGCCTTTAGTCTATCTTGAACTTATTCTTGTATAAGAAGCAAGAGATGTTACCCATCCCCACAACCCCATCAATAAGCAGCTGTACTGGTACCACTTATTAAAGATCTCACATGCTCCCCCTGCCAACGTCTGTTTCTGGGTATTCTATTTCACTGCTCTTGTCATCCATCTCTATAACAATACCATGATCTCATTCATTGTCCCTTCTGTTATTTGGAAGAATGAGTGTTCCTACTATAGTTTTGGGAAATTACCTTAGCTATCCTTGGCCCTTTGCTCTTCTGTATGAATTTTAAGACTATAAAATTATTCATTATTAAATATTGAATCAGGGTCAAATTTTCCACATGTTCAATATATTTTTTTAAAAGGTGTGTGTGTGTTTTAAAAATTAAATCCAAAAAGGTCCATATACTGCATGTGGTTGATAATGTCTCTTAAATCCAGTTGATTTCTAAGTGTTCCCTCCAATTTATTTGTTGGAGAAACTTGGTCATTTGTTCTTGCAGACTTTCCCACATTATGGATTTAGCTGACGGCATCCTCATTGTGGTGTCACGTGTTCCTCTACCCCTTGAATTTCCTGTAAAACTGGTAGTTATATCTAGAGGCTGTGACCAAACAGGTTTGATTTTTTGGCAGTATTAATTCACAGATGATGCTGTATACTTTCCTTTTTTAAAAAATATGTCTTTATTGATTTCAGAGAGAAGAAGGGAAAAGGAGACAGAGATAGAAACATCAATGATGACAGAGTCATTGATTGGCTGCCTCCTGCACGCCCCATACTGGGGATTGAGCCGGTAACCCGGGCATGTGCCCTGACTGGGAATCGAACCTTGATCTCCTGTGATATTAAATTTCATCAGTTAACCTGATTCTTTCTCATCAGTCTTTTCATCTAAAGATTAACCAGAGTTCTAAGACAGAATTAAGCTGCAGAGAACATTAGTTGTGTTTGAGGAAACATTAGTTTCCTCAAAAATTCCAAGGTCTATATCTAGTACCTCTAAAGATGAATAGGATATAAGTTAATTCATTGTATACAATGGATGCTTTAGGGCAGAGGTTTGCAAAACAGCCACTATAGTATGTAGGGCAACTAGCTGACTGCTTTTGTTATAATAAAGTTTTATGGGAGCACAACATTCTATGGCTGCTAAGTCTGAAATATTTATTATCTGGCCCTTTACAGAAGTTAGCAGATTTCTACTTTAGGGCATTAGGGCATAACAATTTCCTGAAACCTTGGTTGAGAAAAGCTTTGCCTAGACCCACTTTCTCATTACTTGTTATTCTAATCTATTATTCCTGCTACATTTATTAACCAAATTCTTCTTTTACTCAAGTATTTGCATATTCTGAAATTAAAGTCTGTAAAGAAAACAAAAATGCTTTGTTTCTTTCTATTTTACCATTTTTTAGAATAGCAAGTTGTCCCATTCAACTCCTAAGGTGATCACTGATTTAAAAAAAAATACTACCATTGTGAACACATAAATATTTAACTTTTTTTGATTTTTAAAAATCTATTGAGATTTTTGTTTGTTTTATCAATGCTCAAAATGTCCCATTTTGGCCATTGAGACTCCCAGTTGGCTCCTATATTTTTGGATAGAACTTTGATGCTTCCTTGCTTTCTGTTATAAATTAGTCTAAGTTCACCTTGTATTTTTACTGCCACAGTACTGGAATCAGTCATTTCTCCAGTCTTGGTTCCTTCTAGACAAAAATTATATTTAGAGAACACCATCTGAGTGTTAGAATTCTCTTGCTATTGGGTCACAATATATTTTGGAAAAAAATCCATACTAGTATTTGTATAACGATAATGAATCCAGCTACCTAGCCATATATGTGTATACAATGTGTGTGCGCGCGCGCACACACACACGCACACTTTTCCTTTCTAGAGAAGGAACCCTTATAAAATACAATGTGAAACAGAAGCAATGACAGACGAAATCTTTGCTTTCTTCCTGACTTTAAAGGGGAATAGTTCTTAGGTCTCCCCTTTAAATAGAATGTCTACTTCGATTTTTCTTATAGATATCCATTCTATTCTAAGTTTTCAGATAGTGCCATAATCCAAGGAATGCCAGGAACCAGAGAAACTGGAAGAAGCCTCCATAGAGTGTGTGGCCTTGCTAACACCTAGATTTCAGGTTTCTAGTTTCCAGAACTCTGAATAAGTATATTTCTGCTGTTTAAAAAACACCTAGTTATGGTCATTTGTTATGCTAGCCCCAGGAAACTTAATATAGAGTCCAATTCCATTTTCTCTTGAATCCTATTTTTGCTTCTGAGAAGTCTGCTATCACTGTTATAGAACATCCTCTAAGGAAATGTATTTTGCAAGCTGGTTTTTTATTTATCTGTGGCCGTATGTTCTATAATTCAGTACCATGTGTCTACATGTAATTTATATACAATTTACATAACTCTCCTTGCTTTCTAAATCCAAGGATTTGTTTTTCATGTAATTAAGAAAGAAAAAAATCTCAACCTTATATCTGATTATTTTCTCTGCCTCAATCCCTTGATTCTTTCATTTTAGAACTTATAGGAGACACATATTGGGTCTTTCATGCTATATGCTACCTGAGTCTTTATTAAACTATTTTTATCAGCTCCATGTCCATCATTTCTCCATTCTCTACTGGCTTTATATATTTTGTGAGAAGAGGGAGTACTAGAGGAAGAGTGGGAGAGGCAGGATGAGGGAAGGGATTTATTTCTTCTTGTTTGCTTGCTGTTGCTGTTTAACACCATGCCTGCAATAGTAGTATTTTTTTTCAAACATGTTTTTATTGATTCTAAAGAAAGACAGGAAGAGGAGGAGGAGAGAGAGAGAGAGACATCGATCGCC